GGGTCCAAGGAGGCCTCTCTGCCCAGGGCAGGGCTTCCTTCCTTCTGAGATCGAAACCCGCCTATCTAGTTCCCATAGAAGAGCTTGGCGTTATAACAAGCGTTATACCGGGCGGCTGCGTAGTGCGGCCTGGGGAACGACCCTTCAAACCGAGGTCATCATTCCAATGATGTGCATTAGTTCACGGAGGGACACCGAGGGAACGCTGACTAGGCCTTCGGCTAGGCTGCTTAGCGCTAAGCAATACGCTTGAAATAGCTAAGCCAAGCTTACCTCAGTCTCAAAACTCCACGCCCAGGGACACAAACTGCGCATTGGCTCGAGGTGGGACTTGTCGATTTACTAACGAGCCCAACTGGTGAAGTAAATCCTGTGTTAGCCTGATGCATTTGGCTATTACCCCTTGCCCGGGTTGTTGGTAACCAGTAGTCTGGGTACTACCAACATCTGGTGAAGCAGCAGCACTACCTGTTTCATCACTCTGGTGAACACGTAGGGCGCTGTGCCTAACCCAAACGGGGGGCACCGAAATTCAAATACTTGTCCCAGCTGGGCGATTCGAAGGAGATGGCAACTCGCTAGGTGCATCAGTACGTGCAGGTAGGCCCCGCTTAAGTCTAGCGGGGCTAGCCAGTCAAAACGGTGGATGGAGAGAAGAACCCTGAATGGTGTCTCCATGTGGAATAGATCTGGTACTACGAACACATTTGGGTAGAAGTCGGTTCCGGCTGATGTACCCTGTGTATGGCGTCTTTCCCCAGCAAACTGCTACTTCCTGTCTGATTGCTTCCGCCTTGAAGGAGTCCCCTGGCAGTGCCCAACAGGGGAGACACTGACGGGGGGAAAGATTTCAGCAGTATGCCGTAAACAGATGTCACCACCTGGAAAGGTCCAGGTATCGGTCACCCGCCGTCTCCAAACTGGACTACACCGGCGCAATCTGTGTACGACAGGGATGTGTGGCCATGTGTTCGGCAGTTGTGAGGGGGGTGGAGTGCTCCCTTCCCCATGAGGTGAGTTCCCCAAGGCCTGAAGTAGTCACTAAGTTGTGACCTGGCCACTCACCGAACACGTGCCTATCCCCACCCCACCCCGGTTGCAGAGGTGAGCTTCAAACATGCTT